TAAACAAATATTCAAAGCGATGCTTTTTCAAGTTAAGCGAGAGACTATTTATTTTGGCTATAATAAACATCATGGGTAAGTCATGGACAAATTCTGCACCAAGTAAGACTCCACATATATTTTAATAAAATACAAATGGCTTAACTTTATTGTCATTCACCTGCCATAATTAAAAGTATGCATTAAGCCAAGATGAAATTTAAAAGGGTCATCAAACTCTGGCCAGTGCAAATCCGAGTAAGCTTCATTCTTGCCATTGCGAGTCCTGCACAGCACACATTTTATTTCCGGGCAAAACACATAATGACACAGGTAGATTTCAACAAACAATTTTATTAAGCCCTGGGCATAGTGCAAATCGGATTTTGTGGTTTTTAATTAATATAGTTATTCCTTTGGCCGCTTTGCCAACGCAGCCCCAAAGGAATCGCAACTTTTAATTGTGAAATGCGAAATGGAAATATCCGCAGCAGCAGGAGCAGCAAAAACCAGCAGCAATCCAGCAACAACACCTGCCGTGCTGCAAATGCAATTGCGTTCCATAAATCCAGAAACAATAATCGTAAAATAACATCAGGTGTCACGCGCACGAAACGCAGTTCAAAAAAGGGGGTCAGTCATGCATGGGATTGTTGGGGATCGAGGGATGAGGTCACGGATGAGGACTGGAGGATCCTTCGGGGACACGGCGACGCGGCTTGTCGGAGGATATGGAATGGATGTATTGATGGCCGGCATTATTACCCGATGATGTATGCCCACGTATCCGTACATCTGTGGCACTGAAAGTGCTCCAGATGGCCCCAGCTGGTGACAGAATGGAAACTACGTGAGGAGCAGCTGAAGCTCGAGAGTCCTGTATCCTGTACAACATATATTCTCGATTTTTATTGGATCAAAGCGGAAGCACATTTTCAATATACAACTTCCCTTTAAACAATTCCTCTGCTATTAATATCTAAGCCTTCCATTTATGCGTTCTGGGTAAGTGCAAGAGTGCCCTTCACCCATTTGCTCGAATCCCGGACCATCCCAGGTGTCTTAATAAATAGCCATGAACAATTATGAGCATGTGCAGCCAGTGGTGCAATATTTCGAGTTGCATAACCAGTGGAAAATCTACTGATAAGTCATAGTTCGAGTGTGTGCATGGTAGAAAATCTCAATTAAGCTAAGGTGCAACAGCCTCGTCCTGTTGTACTCATGTTTTGTACCTGTTGTGGAAAACTCAGCTCTCCAACCTACACACAGTGGGTATTTTCAACTGGCAGCGATTCGAACTGGCACAGTGGGACGGAACCCACCCACAGAGCTGCATTGGGACCCATTCCACACCCCGTGACTCTGCCGAGGGTTAATTTGTCCTCCATAAGGATATGTGTGTGAGCGAAGGAAAACGAGTCCTGCCTGCTTGTATTGTGCGGAGTTTTAGCAATGATTAGCATCACGAAATGGAAAACTATTGTTCCAATACGCAGTAGAAAACCAGGTAAAAAGGCATTGACAAATCAGGTAAGGATAAGTCCGCAAAACAAAATATATCCAACTCACATGGGATGTAAAGGTGAAACTGTTGCAATTAGGGCTTAAGGGAAAATTATAAAAATTCGTTTGCAATACGGATATATCTTAGATTAATTCCTTATATCATCATGGAAATGTATTAAATATTAGGTAAAACCTGTAAGTAGTTCTTATTTGATAAGCATACCTATAGTTAAACAGAGAATAGGTGTAAGAGTACGTTTGGTAAATATATAATATGTGATGGATTTATATTATTTATGTTCTAAGAACCAATATCTTATTTAAAACTTTCATTTCCAGCACATCGAACTATTATTTTCTATAAGATGAGCCAGCTCCAAATTTGATTTCGCCAGTGAAACTTTTTGGGTTGCAGGCTCCTCTAAGGACGGTCAATATCCTCCCCCTAACCCTCAAATCCCCTGAAGACCCAACAACAACAGCAACAGCAGCGAGCAGCTGAAGTTTCTGGCAGTCGAGCAACAGCAGTAGAAGCGGTCAGAAAGAGAGGGCAGCACTGGCGGCTGCCTGGCAACCGAATCGGGAGCGAAAGAGATGTCCTGCTGATGACGAGCAGTGCAGAATGAGGCATCAAAAGCAACAGCAACAACAAGTCAGGAGCAGCAACAGCAACAATGCAGCGGCAGCGCTGCCAGCTTCGACGTTGTTGTTGTGCGTTGTGTATAAAAATTTAACATCTGCTCCTTTCATGATTTCAGTTTCGGAAAACTCAAAACTCGTACAACAACGAGGGCTGTAATGGCACAAATAAAAATATATATGTATGCATCTGTGCGAGCTTGTATCCCTCTCTTTCACACCGGCTATGCCCGTCTCTTTCTAGCCGCTTGTTGTTGCTGTTAATGCATTTGGCTTGCTTCACTCGTATTACGTGTGCATTTGCCACTCTGAGCTACAAAAACAAAAAAGAAGAAGAAAACATTGAGATACCCAGATACTCGGATGCTGAGATACCCAGATACTCTCTGGAAATGCTCCTTTGGAGCTGTGAGTGCATAAAAAAAATAACCGGCGGCCAACTGGCGGATTTTAAACGGAATGAAATAAATTAAACCGTGGCCAGGATATGCAGCCACAGGATGCTTTGGTCCTGCTGGATGTGCCATGCATCTTATGGTGCATTCAACTTCAGCCAGTGATTTTTACTCGTCTTCACTGTTTGCCCTTGGATAAGTTAGTCCGAATACACGCTGGGCACATTGAATCGATCTAAGACTTGGCTGCACTTAAAGTTTTAAGCTAAACTCAGTTCGTCTAATAATACAAATATTATTATACTTAAGCTTATTGGCCTGGGATATTTCAACGTGTATTCGTTTATTAGGGTTTCTACATATTTGCAAACATTTTTTTCTGCTTCAAATTGGCTAATAAATCTTAACCCCATTTCCAGTGTATTACATTTTTCATTTTTTTTTTTAGAATTTTTTATTTATTTTTCTGTTCATGTTTTGTGCGCACATTTCATTCATTTTTCAAATACTTGTGCAGCACCAACTGTCAGATACATTTCTGGTTTGCCTTGCCGCACGTCTTTTTATTGTGGCTGCTTGCAGTGTGAATGTCCTTTGCTGTCCTCACAAAGGACACGCAAAAGCCAAATAAGAGCGAAAAAAGTCGGAAAACGGGAAAGAGTGGAATGCAGATGTACGAAGAGAGACTTGCAGCAGCTTTGAGTCAGAGTGCAGAACTACTACCAACTATGAAGAACTTGTCTGCGGATCGTGAACTTAAGAACTATCTAAGAAGAGAAAAGGCCGGCTGCATTTTGCTGTTTGTGCAGATGTTTCTTCGAGGTTCCTCGACGGATTTTATGGGTATGCGCTGCGTATGGGACAGGTCAGTGCTCGGAGGATTCAGACTCAGATTCAGATTCGTAGGATTCGAAGTCGGTTAAGGGTTGTGCCCGTAGGTTGAATGATTTTCCATTACGCAATGCAAATAGACAGCAGCATTGCGCGTACTCGCTTTGTTTTGTTATTTTCTCTGTCAGCGCCAGGCAACAATGCAACTGTCAAGGTTTCCATTTTCCGCCGTGGATTGCTCTGTATGAAGAGGCGAAAAAATGGCAGCTCCACGAATAGTTGGCATGAAACGAGGTTGCAACTGGACCGCCACGAGAAAAAAGTGAAATGAAATCAACTGACATATAGATCCGCCCCCGCTCTTTGCGCAAAACTAAAAAAGGGGCAAAACATGGCAGGCAAATTGTACCAAAATCCCGCAACGGCAGCCAGTGCAATGCCAGGATATATGGCACATGCCCACAAGGTCCTGCCTCCGTGTCCTGCGTCCAGCGCAGCAGCAACAGCAACAGCAGCGGCAACAGCACCGCAGCAACGTTCACGGCACCGCAGCAACAGCAGCGGGAAAGCAAGTTTGCTTCGGCTGGTCGAACGGCAAATGCCCTAGAAGTTCGTGATAATATCTTCAATTTAGTTACTCTGTCAATCGAAACATCGCAACTGTTCTATTTTGATTTTAAATAAATAATTGAAATATAACTACCCACCGTTGAAATTAAATGAAATTCATCCTCGTAGTCTGCGTGATATTGCATTTACAGGATTCCTCAAGCGTTGGGAAACGAAAAATATAACCTATGTAAGGGTATCAAAACAAAGGCAGCAGAAAATACCTCGTAGTGCACATAGATTGCAAGTTCGCATTGTGAGCGCGAAACTAGGGAAAAAAATTTTTAATTGGAACAACAACTGTACAGCGGCGCAGCAGCAGCAGCAGCAGCAACAACAAAAGCGCACTTCAAACGCCGCATGCTCGTGTCCGTGTCTGGTTGCAGCTGTGTGTGTGCGTGCTAGCGTGTTAATGAAAGAGAGAGGACATGCAGCTGTAAGTGTTCCTGTGTGCGTGCGTGCGTGTGTGTGTGTGTGTGTGCCAGGACTCTCGAGCCAAAAGTTGCAAGCGCAACAGCAACTGCAGCAACAGCAACAAGCAGCAGTTCGAAGTTAAATATTTAAGAATTTATCAACTTTTTAGGGCACATAGAAATAAATACATATCCGAAAACGAAAAAATCTTGCGCTTCTGAGATAAAATTAAAAAAAAATGTTGTGTATTAAACTTAGTAACAGACCTTAAAAAAATCAGACAAAAATAATTTTTTTTAAATGGTTCAGTGTGGATAAGAAACAATATAAAAACCGCTAGTTAAGAGAATTTGGTCGTCATGCTGGTTTTGTTCTTTTTAATGCAAGTTCGATTGGCGTCCGAGGTGGTTCGATGCGAACATGAACCTGCTCGCTGCGAACGCGAACTTGTTCGATACATTTTATGTTGCCTCCTTCATTTTCATTTTCATTTGTCTGCACGGCGCAATCAGTTGTTGTGTATCCTTCGGGTGAAAAGTTTCCTACAAAACACGGACTTTTGCACCGCCGCCGTCGCCGTTCGAGCGCTAGAAACGAGTGCGAGTGCGTGTGAGACTTACTAGCTAACAAACTGATTTTGAATTTCGTGGATATACTATCCTTTCGGTGTGATCGAGTTCAAGGACTCGCGACTAACTTGTTCCAGTTTCGAATGCAGCAGCACCAAATAAAAATTGCCAATGTGACCAGTGAAATAGGATATCCAAGAGCACAACAACATCAAGAACTCCAGTTTTTCAGCTTTTCTTCCAAGTTCCGGTCCCGGTTTCATTTGCAGCTCCAGTTTCGCGCTCGGTTCTCGGGGTTTCCCTGCAATTTCCGCGATTTCCTTCTTTATTTCCCTTCGTTCCGTTTTCGCGTCGCGGTTTGTTATTGTCAACTTTCGTTTTCGTGCGGTTTTTCGCGGCTTTCCTAACGGTCCAACGACGGGCGCAAATGGATAGTGAAACTGGCTTGGATTTCCAATAGCTTCTAAGTACTCAGCATTTTCCGAGGGAAAACTACGAGAAAGGAAATGGATTAACAACCAAGGTTTGTAATAGGGATTTACTTACATCTCACTTAGGATTTTTTGCTTGACTATAACACATTTTTATAATCACTTGTTAGGATTTATGCTCAGTCTACTCAAAAAACGAAATAAATGAGTTTTGTTCTATTAATTAACAGCATCAAACAAAAAAACAGAAATAGCCGCATGCAGAACATAATTAACTCTTTGAAAAACAACCTTAAGAAGCGTTTCCAAGAAACAGACCAGAATGGCCATATCCCTTTCAAAAAACCGACTCCAATTAATTAAGCCAATTGAGCAAATGTATAAAAATGTTGAGCTCCAATCAAATATAAAACTCTACGCTTTTGTCCCTAATCCCCCAATTAAACTCACCTCACGACCGAAAGCCAACGAAAAACAAATTCCCAATTGAAATTTGCATTTGGGGCACAGGAAATACTTTCCAAGCGTAAACATGTAAACAAAGAGATAACAATTGTTATTGGTCATCCGAGGATCAAATTACAATAAGTGCAAGCTCAATGGAGCCCTGAAAAATAAAATCACAATCACCTAAGCAGGAAATTTCTGTGAGCTTGGAAGCTTTATTTGTGCAAGTCAAATAAACAAAATGAAATAATAATAAAGTAAAGCCAGAAGCTTTTATTTTATTTTTTTGTTTGGACCACGAACATGTTTGGAAATAAGTAATGACTTTTAGAAGAAGAACTGTTTCTGATAGATACATTTGGCGCTCGTCTTAGTGCCAACTTAAATTAAAAAGCAGCGGGCTCTGAAGTTCTTCTGGTTGGTTGTGAAGAGTTGAGCGGAGGCCCTGAAAACGTGCCAGAAAGCGACACACAGAGATACAAAGATACAGATACTCGTAACTAACAGTAACGTGCGTACATCTTCAAGATACTTTTTGGCGCGCTCAGAACAGAAGCGCCAAAAACAGAAAATAAAACAAGAAGAGTACAAGGGAACGAGAAGCACAACAGAAAGCGAAAAGCTAAAAACACAGAAGGAGATACTTGTGCTCCTACAAGATACAGCTACAGCTACAGCTACAGCCACAGATACATGGCAATAAAGAGAATTTAAAGAAAGATAAATAATAAAACCAAACAAATTGAGGCGCAGGCCGCGAAAGAAGTTCAAGTTCAGCGAATGTATCTCTGTGTCAGTATCAGATTCTGTATCTGTATCTGTATCTGTTGGATGCAATTTGTCGGCCGCCTGCAAGTTTATTACTGCCTTACCCCCAATGAATCTATATATAGCTGCCATATTTTGTTTACAATTCCTTGCCGCCCACGATTCATTCATAAAACACACCAGCCAAAAATAAAAGTTGGCAAAAGGACACGCAGGCAAATTAAGGCTTTGACCTAGAGAAAAATAAACAACACCCAGGATATAACCCCTGCCCCAGCCACTCCCCCTCCGCCCACTCGTTAACGGTAACGTGCGTGACTTTGAAAGCATGCGAGGCAAATGACAAACTCGTAAATCTCAACACACTCACGGGAAGTGGGTGGTGTTTTTCTTTTTTTGGGCTGCGGGTGAAAATGCGAGGCATAAGTGCCCCTACTCCCGTTCATGTACGCTAATACTCAGCCGCGTATGCCTGTCCATGGACTCCCTGCATGGCTTCATTGGGCCCCACGCACGTTTCATTTCATCCACACCTGCACCGCCGCACCACCGCACCACTCCGCGCACCACCCACTCGCACACCCAGGCAGCCAAACCCAGCGCACCACCAACCTTCGGCACAACTCAATTTGCACGTGACACCGAAGAACACCGAAGAACGGGATGTGGAGCAGGCACTGCCAGGCGAATTAGCTGGCGGCAGAACATATCTTTTTGAAGAACATATCTTTCGGATGGGGTTTCATTAACTTTAAATATTTTCTAACAGTCGAGCATGAAATGATATGTATGTGATGGGCCAGTCTCAAACTAAGTTGGAGTATGACTCAACATATACATATATTATATTATGCAAACAAAGAACCCACGACAATCGCATAAGCAAGTACCATTTGAATGCATTTGATGCCTCGACTCACAGCGTTGACTTAATTACCTACCCTTCGTAGTATTTTACTTCTGCTTCAAGCCCTGAAAAACTTCCTTCCGCGCAATATAAGCTCGATCAAGTAGAAATGCAATTTCAGCCGTCTAGTTCGTGTCATTAACATAAAGTGAAATTATTTCCCCACCCAGTTGGCAGTTCGTAGGGCTTCTTGAAATGCTACCCGGCCAAAATGATGCACCCCACCGAAAATGGAATGGAATTTTATTCATTAACTCGCTGCGGTGCACATTTGGCAATTGTAACGTATAACATGCATAAATATGCATACTTATTATGCCCGAAAAATAGTTTCGCAATAGCGAAGTGCTGGGGAAAAATGTTAATAAATATTTAGCCCAACTGCTTTCGAGCAATCCTCATATGAGCAAAAGTTGTAAACAAGCGCACAATGTTCGGATAACATATTAAAATATAACATTGAAGAGGATGAGCTGGGAAACTGGTTATGGGGTTGGGAACGTGGGGTTCACCAAGGCAAGGGGAGCACTTCATTTGCACAAATGGAGCGTCAGCTTGACAGACAGACTGTTCAGGAGGCGACGGAGGATCCTGCAGGATCCTGGGAAATGGGATGTGCGGAACATGCTGCTGCCCAACTGTCGTTGGTTGCACTTGTTATCAAAAGAGCTTGCTGTGGGTAAGAGTATTCGCACTTGTGTGGTTGGACAGTAACTGTGGAGTCCCTAATCAAGCCAAACATTCGAAGAACTAATACTTGTGAATATGGTTAAATATTTAAGGGAAGAATTTCACTAAATTAGTTTTAAAATGCTTGTAAATATATGGCATTCCTTGGACTAACTATACAATACATGCCCGCTTTAGGGTATCGCCAAGTCCACAAGCCCCTCTCGAATTTTCATCATATTTTCCACTTTTCTCTGCCATTTCTGGTGGCTCGGCTGAGTTCAAACAAATGCGAAGTCAAACAACGACAGGTAGCACCGGTAGATGGTTTCCCTCTGGATATGCCAGAAACCCCAGATTCTGCTCCTGTTTCTGTTTCCGTTCCTGTTTTCGTCCTGTGGCTTCACGTGCTCTCCGCCTCCCCTCTGCACATGCAACGCTCCTGTGCATGTGTGTGTGTAGCCTAGTTCCTCGTCCTGCGAGGCTCCCTGCCCCTCCACATAATACACGTATGTATATACTGCCAAAAAACAGCCCTCGCAGTCACCTAGATTCTATACCGCCTTTTGCAATTTTCATTCCACGACTCCGCAGCGACTTTGTTTTCCAAATGACGCATTGTTCGGTCACATACACGTACACTCGCTCTCATAATGTACATACGAGTATGGTGCTTATGTGTGCGGCTGGTCTGCGTGTTTAATTTGCAAATTCAAAATGCGAGAAAATAAAGAATGTTGTACGTACATTGTACATACATGTTGCAAAAATGTGCTGCATTAAGTGCGAGCAGCAAACAAGAAATTTAAGTGAATTGCGGTCATTGTTTCTGCTTTCGGTTTATTTGCTCAGTTTTTTTTTTTTATACACCCATACTGGCACAGTTCTAAATAGAAATCCCTGTTAATATAGACCATCCCGTATATGCATAACATTGAAACTTCGCCACCGAGCTTAGCACCATGAGATAAGATAGCAACTTGGAGCTCGATCGGATAAGGGTTTGGCAAACAATTTATATAATTTTCGGTGTTATATCACTCGGGGCAACGGAAACGCCAAAGGAAGTGTACTTCTCTTCCAGAAATGCAAACATTCAACTACGCCACCAGTGAGCACGGCTCAATAGCTTAGGATCCCAAGAGTCTTAGGAATCTTGGGAGATGGGCAGCAATAGATCATAACTTTCCCTCCGAAGTTGGGATTTGGCTTGGGCCAAGGAAGAAGGAAGAGCTAATTGCAGGCTGCACATGTTGCCAATTTCCCAACTCTTTGGCCCAATTTCGGAGCAAATCGCGAGTGGTCAATGGTGCGATCGGTGGATTGGGATCGGGATCTTTATCGCGCCTTGTCGAGCGTAAGACTCGTAACTCGTAGCTCGTAATTCTCCCAGGAAAGGGAGGATCAGAGGGGCCGGGGAGGAGGACGAGTCCAAAGTTACAGCTGCAGAACAGGACAGGATGAAAGGCCAGAAGTGGAAACGCGAAACGGAATCGCATAAAACGGAAAGTGCAGCAAATTGTGGCAGCTGCAACATTTTGTGTTTTTTTTTCTCCTCGCTGCAGGTTCTCTTCTCCGCTTTTTCCTCCTTTTTTGTTGTTGCTGGTTTGCTGCGCTTGGCCGTTGGCCTTTTACCGTTTTTATTGAAGGCACTGCCACAAAGATAATGTGAGCGGGATGGCACGAGGAGGGGAGGAAGCGAGACGGGGCGATAGGGCAGGGGCAATTGCAGCACGCAAATTGCAGTCGACAAAATAATCAGACTTTAATTGTCGTTCTGCAACAATGTGCAGCATACTCAAGGCAACGAGAACCTCAAGGAACCCGAAAGAAATTAAGGAGAACGCGAACAATGGGGCAGATGACTCAGTTGTCAACCGAAATCGGGCGAAAAGTTTCCCCATTTCGAAACTTCGGGGGTGAAATGTGCACACGGATGCGAGATGGTTAATTTTAAGTGTGGGAAATCTTGAGGGAAATGTCTTAGGTACCAGCGAGCAATGCCAGATACTTTTTATGCAATATGAAAGATACAATATAGAATATGCAATATGAAAGATGCAATATGATAGATACAATATGAAAGATACATTATGAAAGGTACAACATGATAGACACAATATAAAAGGTACAAAATGAAAGATACAATATGATAGATACAATATGATAGATACAATATGATAGGTACTAGATAGATGCAATATGAAATGATATTAAACAGTTTCCAAATCGTTGGCTTTGTATTTTACATATGCTTAATTCAAATTTAATCTCCGCTTAGAATCCAATTTCCAAGAGTTAGAGTCCTACTCTTAGTTATGCCAAACTTATTAATATTCCATTTTCACTCACTTTAACACCTCAAAAGTCATGCATTAATGCAGCTCAGCTTGCATTTAAAAACTGGTGCAGCTTGAGGCGCAACCAGAGCACTCAAAATCATCATCCTCGCACATTAAAATCATCCTCATAAACATCATCATCATCTTCACCGACGTGGTGATGAAAAAGCCCAGGTTCCGAGCCCAATGAACTTTGTGAAGCGCAACGAAATGCTCGCTGGCCAAATGCAAAAAGCCAAAGGACGCGCTGGGCAACAAAAAAAGAAACCAAAAGTACACCTGTGCCACAAAAATAAAGAAAATAATATAAATAAAAATAAAGGAAAAGGAAAAGATACAAGAGCGGGCAAAAAATGGCGAAAAAAGGCAAGAAAATGACAACGGCGTTGAAGGCAACTGAAATACGCTTATGTGATGGTATAAGTGTGTTTCGCAAGTGTGTGTGCGATTGTGTGTGTGTGTGAGAGAGGCTTTACAAAGCCAAAACCAACTTGGCAGCATAACTTACAAGCCGAAAAAGAAAAAAATCGAGAAAAAAAAACAACAGCAGCGGCAATAAAAAGCCAGAAGTGAGTGTCCTTTAGCTCATTTTTTTTCGCTGTTCGTTTCTTATTATTATTTTTTTTTGCCGCTTCCTGCCTCGCTGACTTGGCCGCTCATTATATAGTCAAAGACCATAATTATGTGTTGAAGTTTGTAGATGTTTGAGGCCAGAGAGGTAGGAGCAACAGAGAAAATTACAAAAAAACTTAATGGACAAGCAAACTTTTTAGCCAGGATATTTTTATAAGAAACTCTGGAACACCTTCAACTGAAACTTTACTAACCAAACTCATTTTCCTTGCTTCCTATTTTTACAGCTTTCAATCAAAGGATTTGAGAACAACGGCGGTCACAACAACACAAAATACTTTGGAAGCTCTTTAGACAACTGACAAAAAAAAATCCCTTTCGGCCCAAAATCAAAATTGCAAACCAAACGAAGAAAAGGCGTAAAATGAATTAGGCTAAACATACAACTTATATGAAATATAAATATTATTACTATTAAAGCCAATAACAAGTAACGCGCTAATGTTTAATTAGTTGTTAAGTCCAGAACCCAAACAAACAAACAAACGGAAGACAAAGATTTTTAAGCCTACGCATAAGTACAATTTACTAGATATAAATACTTAAATTATTTTTATATCCGACGACATATTACAAGCAAAATCAATTGAGAAACGAAGCATAAACCAGAGTACAAAAACTTAATCAATTTACAACAAGCAAGCATCAAATATTATCAACCACAAAACTGCAAGTAATTAATAACGTAAATACAACAACAACAAACAACAACGCATACGAAATACAAATTTTACAAATTACAAATTTACAAAGATTTTTTAATGAAAAACCAAAACCAAACCAAGTCTGCTACAAATTAAATCAAATATCAAAATACAAATTTTTGCCTAGCTGCCGTTTTACAAACAAACAAAAGAATAAAGTACAAAACAACCAACCACAAATCTTAAACAATTTTTAAACAACAATTTAATAAAGCACTTTACAAAGAAGAACACCATATAAAGTAAATAATCAACTTTGCATTAAAACACGCAAAACCAGTGAGTTCAAAATAAACGAAATACAAATCTTGGAGTAGCTTCAACTTATATTATAGTATACAAATCTATTATACGGATATAATCAGTGTTTTACACTAGCCAACAAAACAAACCAGTCGAATCAGAAACATTTTTACGAAGAACTACCTCAAAAACGCAGAGAAACAACAAACACGAAAAGTGAACCAACCGAATTAGTGTACAAAAACAAACAAACAAACGAATCTTCGAAAATCAGTACAAAGCCCCGCAGTTTTTCAATACAACTGCATAGCCATGCCAGAGTTTGAGCTTAAATGGCGTCTTCAATTTTAGCCCAGAGCAGCGCAGGTGCTACCGTCGACAGCAGCAACTTGGGAGCAACTGCAGCAGCAGTAGCAGTAGCCACATCTGTGGAGGCCACCGTGTCCAGCCTGCACAACACCCATCTGAACCAGCTGAGCAGCCTCAGCCAGCACTACACCACGCCGTACCACCATCCGCATTCGCATTCGCATCCGCACCACCACTACCAGCAGCACTATCCGCAGCAGCAACATCTCCAGCAGCAGCAACACGCCCAGCAGCAGCATCATCAGCAGCAGCAGCAGCAACAGCAGCAGCAGCAGCAGCAGCACTGGGACTACTATGCCAGGCAGCAGCAGCAACATCAACAGCAGCAGCAGCAACAGCAACAGCCAGCGGCCGCCACCGGCAACACCAACGGCAACAGCAGCAACAGCTGCAGCAACAACGGCAACAGCAGCAACGCCGACGGCAGCAATACCACGGTTCCAGCGCCTCTGGGCAGCAGCAACAGCAGCAGCAACCATGCTAATGCTGCAAGTGGTGGCAACAATGGCCAGCGGCACGGCGATGCCAATGCCAATGCCATTTCCGCCGCCTCCGCCGCAGTAGGAAATCCGGGTAACCAGCAGCCGAACAACTCAGCCGGCAACGCCAACTCGAATTCGAACTCCAATTCCAACTCGAACGGCAGCTACACGCGTCCCTGGGAGATGGAGTCCAAGGACAATGGCCCACAACCCCAAACGCAACCCCATCTGCAGCTGAAGAGCGGCTTCGAGCCGTTCTCCAAGCTGCCGTCGTTTCAGAGCCAGTTCCATGGCTTCAATGAGCAATTACTACCGGATGGAACACCCATGCCAGTGCCCATAGGAGCAGCAGTGCCGCCAGGATCGGCAGCTGCAGCAGCAGCAGCTGCAGCAGGCTCCCTGCCTCCTGGCTCCTCCGTTGGACCAAACTCAGTATCGGGACCCGTGGGACCCACTGCCATGAGCTCCCTGCAAACGGTGGCCATGTCGCCGGCCAGCATTTCGGTCAGTTCGCCCGGCATGATGAGTGTGGGCTCACCATTGACCCAACTCTCGAGTCTACAGGCCAGCATCACACCGCCATCAGCGGGCAGTTTTCCGGCACCACCGCCGCCGAATGCCTTCGCGCACCACCACGCCCTCAATCCGCACCACCACCATCGAGGAGCCACCGGGTATCCCACGCCCTATGCGGAGCTGCCACTCTATCCGGGATTCACCCCGTTGAGTGTCAAGAAGGAGCCGAGCTCGGGCGCCGGCAGCGACTTTGAGATGCTGCTCAAGAAGGAGGACTTTGATCTCAGCAACAGCGGCGGCGGCGGACTGATCCACCATCCGCTGCAGCACGGCCAGCCGCATCCCATACCCATGGGCATGCACACGCCCACCTCGTACGATGGCAACAACAGCAACAACAGCTATCCGCAGGCGGCTGGAGGCGGCAGTGGCAGCCACACGCCGCACACCACCACCACCCAGCTCACGCCCACCACCACCACCCCGGTCAAGGTCGAGAAGTTGCTGCAGTCGCCGATAGCTCGGCTGGAGGCCCGGAAGAAGGAGCGGCGGAAACAGCGGCCCAATTCGCTGGAGTCCAGTGCCGAGAGCGAGGCCAGCGGCATGGACGTAGACCCCAGCAATCCTGGCCAAGTGGACGCCGTCTCCAGCACGGCCAACTTCAAGAGTCCGTTGAGTGCCCTGGGCATGGGGGATAGCAACGATGCCAATGCCAGTGGATGCGACAAGCAGGTATGTAGCTAATCGCTGGGTGGGGTTGTTGAAGCCGAAGGAATGCATCGATTCATTTGGGATCGTGTTCGATCTAACTGCACTACAAGCAACCATCAAGAATCATCATTTTGGTTGGTAATTATTGATAAAATCGATATATTCCGGAAATTTTCGACAACACCACCGATAAATTAGCGAAACGGGGCGAACTGGCAACCGCTGCGATTAACAGGACTACGGTCGTCGCCACCATCTTCCGCCACCCACACTGAACCACCCGCCAATGCCACTGCCACTGCCACCACCCACAATCACACCCACCACTCACAACCATAACCACCACAACCACAACCACAACCACAACCACTCCAACGACAACAACTCCTCTTCCTGCTCTCTTTTCCAGTCCAAGAAGAAGCGGAAGCGGTGCGGCGAGTGCGTGGGATGCCAGCGCAAGGACAACTGTGGGGAGTGCGCCCCCTGCCGCAACGACAAGAGCCACCAGATCTGCAAGCAGCGCCGCTGCGAGAAGCTCACCGAGAAGAAGGTGAGTCCACTCACGGGTTTTCCATTCTCAGATTCTATCCCACCGCTTCGCATGCCCAAGTACGAAAGCGGTGGGGAGTATCCCACAGATTCATTCACGGGCAGCGCAAAAGTTACTCAATGAAATCGGCGGGCACAGTGGTTATACGGGTATTAAATCTCTCTAGACTTCACTTCTATAGGAAATGTAATGTGAGTGATGAAATTTCAGTATGGAAGGTTTCTCCTGCTGTCATGCCTTTAATTGAACTAAGGCTCTATCCTTGCACTTTGAAATGGTGTTAGGTGCATAGGATTTGGAGCAGAGAGATCATCTTTCGTGCCACTGTACCCAAACGGGCAGCTGGGAATCGGTGCAAACTGGTTCTGGTCCTCAAAAGAGAGCCGGCGGCCAAGTAGCATCCACATGAACATTCGCATTCGCATTCGCATACAAGATTCGCGGTCTTTCGCACCAGCGGTCAGTCACTCAGGATTTATGTCAGCGCAACAGATGTTCCTTGGCCAAGTGCCTCGTCCCGTCTCTTTCTGTCGGCCCCTCCGGCAGCCGTCTCCTTCTTCAGCTGCCTCGATTTGGGATTTAACTAGTAACCTACAATGTGAGGAGTGTGTGTGTGCCCAAGTGCCTGCGTACGAGGTGCATCTGAGTATCTGCGCCGAGTGATCCGACATCCGCGCATCCTCCAGATACCTTGGCCGCTTCCCAGCTCCTTTTCAAAATCACTTAAGATGCCGCAGGCAGAGCGTGTCCTTTGAGCGTTCGGAAATCAGGTTGCACATGTGTGCGCGATTGGTACCCGAATCTGGGATCTCAAATTGCGCTGCATGTCGTCACTAGAAATTTGGATTGGCGGCTCCGAGGTGAAGTGGAGGCTTGGGAACAAGTTCAATGGCCCAAGGACCACTAAGGAGTTTCAAGTGATCTGCTGCCAAGGATATGTGTGCATCTCAATTTTCCATACATATCAGTTTTGAAGTTGAAGAAGTTCGAATGAGCGCAGTACGTGTTATACTCGTATTAAGAAGAACACAACTTTAAGCGGTTGCTACTTTATTACGGCGCTCATAAAAAGTCATCTTATGATACTAAATGAAGGCACTAAATGCCGTTTTATAATCCTACCTGATGTCATAAAATCCAAAGCACTCGTTTTAACTAGAATTCTGTTTTCCGTAAATTGGTGCCTTGTTAGGCGTTGAACCTAAACCTTTCCCAGATACTTTACAATTGGCTGGCTCCAAGAATTTCGTTCGTATGCCGGTTGCCCAAGGTCTTGTTCCAATTTCCCTCGCCCTGTTGGCAAATCTTGAAATGCCCGTCAGATAATCGGGTATTTGGAGTATGTCCAATATTGACAGACGCTTCCACATTGCGACGCTATTTTCTCGGGGCCTCAGAGCACAAATACAGACGTCCAATGACAACAACAACAGCAGCAAAAGCAAAAGCAACAGCAACAAATGCCCAATATGCCATATATGTGCATACGTATATATAAAATAAGAACAACAATAAAATAACGATAATAACGAAACGAGGCAACGAAAACAATAATAAAAGGAAAGGAAAGGAGCAGATGTTCACATGTTACAAACGCGGCTTTTGATCGCACACTCACTCACAGGCACACGTATACCAATGCACGCGGACAAAGCGGCACACACAGATACACGCAGACAGACAGATAAATAAATAAGCGAGTAGTGCGCAGCGTTTTGTCTCTCAGTCGCGATCAGCGATCAGCGGACTGCAAACAGGAAACAAAAAAAAAACTGTATGGGAGAGTGCGAGTGAGAGGGGGATATGCTGCAGAGAAAGAGACGGCGCGAACGGACAATTAAGGTTGACAGGAGCGAGGAGATCGGACGCTATACAAAAGGCCGTCAAACGAGAAAATGGCACGCAGAGATCTCAACTATAGACCCCTACCCCACCACATAGACCTCCCCCCTGCAGAGCCACTGGTTATAAACCCACCCCAGCCCCCTACCCCCGCAAGACACCCGTCTCTTCGGACGACACACATAGATAAAGTTGTAAATTTCGCAGTTTCACCGAGCGCAGCAACAGTTGACATGTCAATATGGACAGGGTATCTACAAGATACAAGATACGCGTCGCGATAGTGCAACGCCAATTTGGAGCTATATACCCCCGCTCTCCCCCTCTTCCCTCTACCTATGCGCCTCCTGCACAATTGACGCTTCAGTTTTACGATGCACCATCCTTTGCTTTATCATCGCCATCCGCAACATCATTATCAGGCCTTCATTGTCCAACTGCCTCACATGCGGCTGGGCTACTGGAACACTATGTCACTGGGCTGGGGTTTTCTTAAAGGAACTAAGAGAGCTTCGCATGTTTGGCCAGCCAATGGAATGTTCCTCATAGTAATGAAATCTAAATGTTATCTAAATGTTGCTTAGTGTTTCAATTTTGGATCCAAACGAATATTACTCTCTCATGTAGCCCAGTGTAAGCTGAAATTACTCATGTGCTCATATATTTATGCCTTTGTCCATGGACTTTATAATGACAAGGTTTTCGCGGTTTTTTTTCCAGCCTGAAAGTTCTCAGCTAAAACTCACAGCTGGTCCCAGCTGTCCAACTGCTTTGGTCCGGTTTTGCTCTTAATGGTGATAAATTTTGAACGTGAATTATTTCATTCCATCGAGTTTCCCATCGATGGCGGATCAATGCACTTTTCGACTCATTTCTTTTCCATAAATAACTCATGCTTTAAGATGAACTCCAAGTCTGTCCCTTTCCGGTGTTCAGATTTCCCTCTTTTATTTTTTTTCGTTTAATATTTTTTGTAATTCCTTTTTTACTTTCCCAAATCAGCTGAAAAGACCTTCGGGCTTTGTCATTAACTTGGCTATTTGGATTGCACAGCGAACTCACCCAACCTCCCGTTTTCCATCTTTCCCATCAAAAAAAAAAAAGTGAAATCCCTGGACAGGCCTATCTAAGAGGATATTTCCTGTGTCGCTCCGTTCGTCTGGGGCATTTTTCTTCTTTAAATATGCAGTTTTTCTTAGGAATTTTCTCATTAAAATTTGTACATTTTTTCTACATTTTTTTCGCTTCCACAAATAAGAGGAAAACCAACAGCAAGACGGACAAATATTGAAAGTGTTTGAGTGGGAGGAAAGTTAGCGAAAGCCAAAGAAATCAACCCCGAAAGTCCATTTCGAGTCTAGTCGGGGTTTGAGTGATTGACTTCATTGGGCTGTCCAAGGATGCTCTCCTCCGTGGCACTCTAAGATCTGCGCCCTTTCCGTTCCTGGCTCTTATATTCAATTCACGCTGCGCACCAACTTCATTGAGGCAAATGCACTGGAGTCACTAAAAAGCAGCATACAGCCATAACAACTTAAAGGTTTTCGCTTCATGCATACAAAATGCTCTGTAACGTGCATATGCTCACATGAAACCTCGCCGTATCCTTATCCTTAGTCCTTCTTTGGGCCAGGACGAGTGCATTGCTCCTACTTGAGGCCACACACACCCACACAACAGCGCTCCCCGTTCGTGACATACTCTCGGCAAACACACACTAGCAAATGGAGAGCGTGGGCACTTGCCAAGGTGGCTCATGCACTGTGCCGAAATCTTGGTCCTTACAGAGAGGTAAAACTCTTCAGTATGATGTGGAGAAATGCCAAATGTTTTATGACAGTCTTAGGATCAGCTGGGAAGACATTTAACTGAGCTCGACCTAAGAATTCAGCGCTCAGATCTTGGCACACTATTTGTGACAGTGCCCTGTTTTCGGCACGTTGGCTTGCCAGCTCCTGGAAAACAGGATAATACCAATACACACACTCTCCAGTGGATACTTGAGCCACGACTGCAACGATGGTGGTGGATGGTGGATGACGATGGTGATGATGACGTTGGCTATAATGCGCTGGATGTGCTTCATTATGAGCATGTTGTGCAATCTGATACTCGGTCGTGGTCGTGCTCCTTGGATATCCAGTTGCACTTGGGCATCCTCTTTCATCCTGCCCAAGCTATCTCTTTCCCCGGCTATCAGTTGTCCCTGTCTGGCCCAGCTTTTGGCAAAAAACGGAAAAATATGTTGGCCAAAAATGTGTTGTCTTTTGGTTAATTGTCGCTTGTGGCCAGGCACACGACTGCCGCCCGCTCTTCCGCTCCAGAAATCCAGAAATCCCAGTCCTCGTCGTCCGCCAGTGATTCAATCATTCAATCTATATAGGCAGCAATATGTGCGTTTGTCATTCGATAAGTCCCAAAAGATGCTGCCAGGCATGCCTCCCATCTCCGTCGACTTACCCCCGAAATTTCGGTTTGAGTTTGGGTTTTTCAGTTTCAGTTCGAGTTCATTGCTCTGCACTCAACTGGCAGATAAAGTTTTGTTTTAGGTTTCTCTCAGGTACACAGCAGAAAATGAAGAATCAACTTAAATTAAAGTCTACGAACATAAATATGATATATCAGCATAGACAATTCGATGTTGGATCTATCCTATTCTCAATTTCCCTTTTATTAAGATAACCTACGATTTATTTTGTTTTAAAATCAATCCAGAAAAATCATAATTTCCAACTGTGTCTGCTGCTCGTGTCCTGCGGCCGCCGGGCCACAAATCCTATTGAAAATTCCAGGCAGCTTCCGTTGTTTTATTTCCTCCTCGAAGGATTGCATATTCATCTGTTGCAGGGAGCACCACACACTATTATTCGTAGGCCATCTGCAGAACTGGCTCGCCTGCACATCTGTTCGCATTGTGCTCCATGGAATAGGAATAGGAATAGGAATTGGCATTGGAATCGGAATCGGAATCAGGATAGGAATAGGAATATGAATCCTAAGCCAGGACAGAGTCCTGGGAGCAGAACTTAAGCCTCATGCTGTGGAAACACACATGCACGCACGTCCATTAAAATGGCATTGATGAATGATTTTCGTGTACGAGTATATTATTTTATTTTAAGCAGCTTAGGCTTTGTGGGGATTTATGCGTGCGTTCTTTAATTGCCAAAATTTAAATCACACTTTGAGCACCATCATTTAAAACGTGCATTGTTTTCATTTTAATGGGTTCTTATTGGTGAGGCTATTCGGGCAACAAATTGCTGCCATGACAGCCAATTAGTGCGCTTATTTTTTGATAGCCCGCCAGTCGGTCTATATACACTTGTGCTATGTGCCATTTTCCCTGTACATACATACATAGTACACACGCGGTTTTATTACCCAGCATTGAGTGATTTTTGTTGGCCAAGCTCCCTCTGCACGGATTTATTTAATTTGTAATTATTGCTAATTATTTTATGCATCACAGCTTATTTGTATTTACAGTTGATTTATTTTCATTTCTATCTTTTTTTCTTTCAGGAACCCAAAGCCAAAACCGTACGTATACATTTTAATGTTATTAAGTGGGCATTAAGTAATTATTTTTTAATAGTTTTAAAACACAAAAAAAAATCGGTATTTTTTCTGTAACAATCGAAGCAATGGTCCAATAGTGGAATGGCATATCTCGTTGAATTCGCTATCAAATTTCCTATCCAGTGGTATTCACGCCTAAACATTTTCATTTTTTTGCATTTTTCACAAAAAATGATGATGGTACCCCTTGCCAAAAAAACAAAAAATTGAAAATTTTTTTTTTTTTTTAAATTATCAAAAATGCGATTGGGATAGTTAGTTCTGCTCATAAGCTGTACAAAAAAGTTATTCTCTTAGCTGGGCGAGAGAAAATAGTTGAACAATTGATATACTGAATAAAATATAATATATTATTGGTGCTATTGAAGCGTAGGAACAATCCCATTTAGATCTGTAATTAAAATCAAGTTCTTAGAACTCCTCAGCCGTATTGTTATCACAATTATTTGATCTATGCTCTGCAGATTTGGTTCTCAGTAGTTTTTTGGGTTGTTTTGTTTTGCAGTATGCCTATTGTTTACCCTGCAGATACGAATGTATCTTTTCATCTATGTACCGATAGCTATTGTGTGGTTGTTTCGGTGCTCTTTTTTTACCAGCAGAATTGTTTGTTCTGTTGTCTCCGCATAAATTAAATAATAAAATGCTTGACTCTGTCCGTGTGTGAGTGTTCGGCAGTCTGCGCAATTGAATGCTTTTGTTGCTGTATTTATGGAACAGATTTGCCGCTCATGTGGATGAGGATGATGGGATGGATGGGCTGGATGGGTTGATCTGGTGGCTCTGATTCTGAATGCGATTCTGGTGGTGGTTCTGCTGCGGCCCGATGGCAATCAGTCGGGCCGGGCTGCACAGATTTATATAAATGTGCGAGCTGATCGTAAAGCGTTGTTAAATTTTAATAAATAAATGTTCACATCCTTGTTAAGTTCCCAGCAGCGAGAACATTTGCATTGATTGCACTAGCACAGACAAGCGGAAAGAAGCGAAAAATGCAAATTAATGTTATATAATTACGCATGGAAGGGAACACGCTGCGTATACTTGATGGCAATTTGCATAAGGACAAGGCTGAGAAAAAGAAGGGACTTTGTGAGCACTTATCCTTGTTATAGTTAAAGGACAAAAGTGCCGCATTGCCTGTCCTCTTGCACCTCTATTCCCCCGATAATGAGTGCAAAATCAGTTGGTCCCCTCCACCTGTCCATTCTTTTAATGAGAGACACAAAATATCCATTCCGTAATGAGGTCCTTGGCTGGTGAAGCATTAAGCTGAGATCCTTGGGGCGGGCAGGTGCAATCCAGCAATTAAGCAATTTGTTGGCTGTTATTGTTTATTAATAAACAAACAACAAAGCGAGACACCGAACTGTGGCGCTAATTGCCACAGCAACCGGTTGGGAAAATGGCAGGACCGCTGCACAGAAAGCACTCAGTTAGAGCTCAAATGGATCAAGGATATCCATGCACATGCAGAGTCCTAGAAGCGTGGTACCCACGGAACCCTTTTTTCTATTTTTGAAGTGCATTCCACCCGATGCCGGCCCCCTCAGAAGTTTTTCACTGCCCGTTGGCTCAATTTAAATATCAGCGATGCATGGCCAAAAAGGGGTTATACTTGCACTTCCAGAAATGCGCATGCTTTTATAAATATAATTATTATAAAATTAACTAAATGAATCCCTTCCTTGGTAAAAAATACCAGCATATAAGTGAGGGCTGCTTCTCAGCTAACGTTTAGAACATTGCCTACAACTTTATTTCTAAGTACGCCCTGGTCTCTCTCAGTGCAGCACTGCCGTTCATGTGTATCTGTGTGCAAGGTGCAATTGCAGTGCATTTTTCAGCTTGACCGACTCGTCGTCGTCGTCGTCGTCGGCGGCGGCGGACCCTTTTCACAGCTTATTCCCAACAGCGCGACAAACTAAGCAAATTCGCACCCCAGCTGAAATGTGAAATGCGGCAGGAAAATGTGGAAAAGTGTGGGGCGGAGGCGGGGGAGGAGTCGGAGGAAACGGTTGTCATTTAGTCCAGTTTCCGAGGGGTTAAATGCAGCCATAGGCGGACAGATACACACACAGATACACACACGCCTATTTGAACGAGAATACTTAACTGTAATGGCTTAGAGGGTCAGCAGGTTACAAAACTTACTAATTGCTGGCGGCCTTTGGCACAGAATGGTGGAATAATGGTGGAAAAGTCAACTAAATGGGGCACTAAATGTGGCCTGAAGTTGCCAGGAGGACAGGGGCGAGGGATTTAAATATAATTACATAATTACGGCTTGCTGTGTGCAATTAAAATAAAAATGTATCGGCTATAAATGTGTTCACACGTGTTTTGATCGAATCGTTTGCTTCCAATTGAATACATTTTAAAGGCTCAAATTAACAGTGAACATAAACATATGAGACGCGTTTTCTGCCACTTTTGAATTTCAATATGTTACATTTCCTGCATTGCCTGCCAATTTTTCGTTTCCTGCCTTCTGCTGAATTCCCTATTTTGGCCAAATCCGTTTAAGTCAAGTGAATCAAACGAAATCACAGAGAGTATAAAACGTAGGGCCAAAGCCCGTTGCCTTACAATTTCAATTTCCAAATGTTTCCCGGAGAAAGTTGTTGCTTGTTTTTGCTTCTTCTTTTTTGTTGTGCTTTGCTTACAAAGTGCCTATCAAGCTGTAACAACAACAACCAAAAGAAAAAAAAACGAAAACGGAATGATTGCATTTTGACAACAAATGGGAAATGGAAAACACTGGCATATTGTTACAACAAAAACATGGAGCTGAGGAAAAGTGAGCAGAACAGGGACGCACTTTCCAAATCGATTTTTGATTATTTTTGCTTATCATTCTGTTTGCTCCTTCCTCCTTTCGGGTTTGCCACCACCCCCGGGAAAAAAACAACAAGGAACCGCCGTAAATTCAATTTAATTTTCTTTAAATATTATTTGAGACAATTTCGCCGGCATTACAACGAGAAAAAGTGGCACACAATTTTTACGTCGCTCTGTGCGGAGTTTATTTTATCATGTTTACTTTCAATAACTTTCAGATATATCCCCCAATTTTTTCGCATAAACCTGGCAAACACGAACAAAAAAAAACTGGGGAAAACATCACCGCGTTGTGGAAAACAAATTTCAGTTCGTTTGCTATTTATTTTATTTATAGCTGAGAGCCTTTTTTGCATTTGGCGGACTTTTGTTTGTCGGCGCAAATTGAAAATATAATTGAAACAATAAATTGTTATGTTGTCGAGAACTGAAAGAGTTGCCGGGGATTATATGTATTTGTCCGTTTTCGCTCGACTGCCTTTCCTGCTGCAAAAGAGGAACGAAAAAATCAATTTAATTTCAGGTTTTTTCGCCCGACTCTGCCAACAACTAAAAGTTGGTCTCACTTCTCTGACCAAAGTCAAGTCATTTGCCAAAGTACGAAAGTCCTGCCGCGCATAAACATCCCCTAACGTGGGGGTGGTTTGCAGTCAAGACACCAGCGAGCGAAGGAAACGCAAAAGAAAGAATTAAAGAAATGTTTTTTTCAAACCAAACAACAACAAATAAAATAAAGTAAAAACTCCACAGAATCAGCGGCAACAACAATGAGGCGTACGTGCAACATGAATGCGCTGCAAAAATTTCACAGCACGTAGCTGGCAGTTGTAAAGAGCACTGGAAAATATTGTGGTAAACTCCGAAGGAAAATCAATGAAGGCTAAATATTGTGATTAATAATATTTGCAACAGTAAAAATGCACCATTTAATAAACAAGATGGTCTTAGGGCTTAGGTAATGGTAGCTTGGTAATCTATCGTGAATAGCAGGCTGGTATTTCCAGTTCCTTGGATTAATTTTCACATCAGAAAAGATAAGTGATGTGTTATCCTTTTCTGCCTGTGCAGGACTTAAACTTCTGAGCAGGACTTTGCACTTAGCATTTAGCAGTGTGCGCATGTTGGTGTGATATCAAACAATTTAGCGCATTGCATTACAAGCTGTTCGCGCAAAAAAGTTGCGATGCAAGTTTTCTAATTGCAATGGCGCCCCAAAGGATATTAGGAGTGCAGATTAGGAGGGGGTTAACAGCAGGACTTAACCGGGGGTTAAGTACGGGGTGGATCCACGGGGAAATGCGGCTGGCACGCACTCACAAAGTATTCTTGTTGCTGTTGCTGCTGGCACATCATCAGCTATGCAAACAAATACGCATAAATATGCACGCACACACCCACCCACCCACGGTTTTTGAATATAAAAAAAAGAAAGGAAAAACCGGAGGATGAGGCTAAATAAGAGGAAGCTCGAGCAGAGGGAGAATAACAAACTCAGCACGCACACAGCAGCTACAGCGAGCGGTACATGTGCAAATACACAAATACAGGCCCACATACATCACCTACATCACCGCCGCCATCTTCCCACTCGGCACTTTCTCCAGTTTCTCGAGCGCCTTTCAAGCTTTCTCCCTACGCACATTGCGTGCACAACAACAACACAACAACACAACGGCAACAACAGCAACACCAGCTAGAACAGCAAAGGGCTGCAGAAAACTGGAAGAAAGGAACGCACTGCAATGGCTTCTTGGCTCAACTCCCTGGACTCCTCACCTTTCGCTCCTCTCTGCAAATCTTCAGAGCATAACCCCAGCGGCACTACAGTAAACAAGTGATAAGGTGAACGGGAGGCACGTTAATGTCCTTGCAGTAGCTGCGAAAACTAAAATCAATCTGACTTTCAATAAGCAGTTTAGTCGTTCATGTTTAGTTGTAGCCAATAAATATTAGCCACTCTCCTTCGATTAACACTTGGCCAGAAGCGTTGTCGATTCGAGGACCTTTTCCAAGTGAGCCACTCCACAATCCTTACATCAAACGCAGATCAAAGCGGCGTGAACCCTTCGAAAGCCGGCTAATTTGGGCCCAAGTCTTTGCTCTTTTGACTCAGCGAAGGG